ATTCCTGCATCCTTTAAGGCTGCTAAGCAGAGCAGTAATTCTTCTTCCTTTAACATTTTATATATATTTTTTATCTATTTTGTTCAGATTTAGTGAGCATCTGCGGCAAGGTGCAGCAGCTCTGCAAGCTCTCCTGCGTGGACTACGTGCTGCCCAGCCCAGGGCACATCGGAGCCGGCGCCGAGGACGCGTGGGAGAGCGCGGAGCCGCCGGATTTCGTGGGAAGGTGCCGAGTTGTCCGCGTGGGGCCCTGGCACCTGGCGCACGTCGCCTCCGTGCAGGTAGGGAGCACCGGGAGCTGCGAGCAGGGTCCTGTCCCCGCGTCCCCTCCTGGCTGCGCTGGCACCCGCTGTCCCACTGCCTGGCACGGGGCAGGGGACGGGTTTCTGTCCCAGCGCGGACCTACCGCGGGGCTGCTCCATAACCGCTCCAGAATGTCGCGGAGTTTCCCGTTTTAAGTTGAATTTCCCTTCTGCCCAGAGCTTCTTCTGTGCCTAGCAGCTTGCCACAGTGCTTCTTCATAAGATCTGAGACTGTGTTAGGACTTTAAATACCGTTTTTTTTTTTTTTTTAGACCCTAGTACTTTTATGTGGTGCTTCACATGTCTTCACATATCTTCACTCAGAAATGTTAAGAAGGACACCTGTATTAGAGAACTGTTTTGTAAAGGATTGATTGTTAGAAATGCGTAAAAACGCACATATTTTTCAGACTTCTAAATTAATGTTCTTTCCAGAGCTTTAGTGTGATGTATCCGTATATGCTTCCACCACACGGAATTGTCTCTCCTGCAATCCTGTGTGTAAATGCACCAAGGTAGATGTTACTGCCCTCACTAACTGCTCAGATGTCCACACGGTGGAAAATAACATTCCAGCTTTGTTATCTGTTCACCTACAAAGAGAAAAAAAAGTGTGTGTGCAGGGCAGTGGAATCTGCTCTCCTGTAATATATAGTTTATTTTCTAAATTATCGGCCTGTTACAAATCTCCATGGAATTAGATCACAGCATCCAACAGTGTGTAGAGGTAGCACTTGGTAACTTCTATGCTCTCAGTCCAAATTAGCACTACAAGGCAGTTTTGTGCATATTCCACTGCCTTCATATTCCACTTCCTTCCTTTATAAATCTGTTCTTTAAGAGCAAACTTTGTTATTTGGTATTCAAGTAACTCACCAACTTGTATACAAGGAGTTTTAGCGCAGTTAAATTCAGACGTTCACAAGGAGGGAAAGGTTTCCCAGGCAAAGTGTTGCTGGGAGCACCGCTGAATCCCGAGCAGAATTTCAGGCTTCTTTCCCAGGACCGGAATAGTAAAGTGACCGCGACTCAGTGTTTGGCTTTGCAGCACATCGGTACTGTGGCTGTTCTGTTTGCGTAATGTGTCCTCTAATGGAGAATGTTTGTCCCTTTTGTCTTTAAGATATCCGTGCAGGAAACCACCATCCACTTCGGAGGTCAGTAATTTGCAGTCGGTTGTTCATGGAGCCCTGGGCGGGTGGATGTGTCTTCCCGCTGGGGCGCAGCGGCTGCTTCCCAGTCCTCTCCCAGCCCCGTGGTGGTTGCGGAGCTGCTGCTGAGTCACCCGGCTGCAAAACACGGGCTCAGGCTTCCAGCCGCGGCCTCCCCAGGCCATTCCCTGCTAACCAGACCCATTATCCTGCGTCAACCCGGGTCGCCTACGCTTGGATCTCCCTGCGGGGAGGGCTCCCCGTACCGCCCTGCTCCGAATTAACGGGCGCCGTTGTATTCCCGTTGCCCTCGCGGGCCGGGCTGGGGAACGCTGCTCCCGGGGAAGCTGCCGAGGCCTTGGCCAGGCTTTGGGCTCCTGCGTATTCCCAGTAACACAGTGCTCTCCTCCTCCCTCCGAAGGGAACATGAGCCTGACGGTGCCGTTCAGCAGCGTCTACCTGTGCGAGTGCTGCTTCCACCTGTACTACCTGAACCTGCACGTGTCTCCCGAGGGGACCAGGGACATTTACTCCAGATGGGGACCGCAGGCAGCCCCAGCAAGTGAGTGGGATGCGTTCCTGTAGCTGCCCGGGGTTCCGCACTTCCCTCCTTCCACTGTAACAGGCTTCACGCTGTTACTGCTGATATCCTTAACTGCTCCGGGCGTTTCCCTGTACAGTGCTGGTGCGGGGGCTGCGGTGCTTTAGCTGAAGGTCTTGCATTTGTGGGACATGCAAGAGCACGTCAGGGGACATGCAGCGTGTTGCTGCTCCCCGCCGAGCGCGTCCGTGCTCGTGGAGCTGGTGCCACTGCAGGTCTCCAGCAAGTCCCTGCAGGAGAGGCCCCGCAAAGTCCGAGGGGCCTAGAGGACAGAGCTGCTCTGGTGTCACCCTAAGCACGGGAAAAGGAGGATGTAGTAGTAAGGGCACTGTGAAAGCTCAACGCGCGCGGCGTCTCTGTGATCCCTCTTGTCACGCTGTCTAATTACGGTGCTTTGCAGACCTAGATAGTGTGGAAGTCCTCGTTGTCCTGGAGACGCCGGAGGTGCCGGGGTCCTTCCGCAGGCTGCTGGAATTCATCTCGGAGCGGCGCTCGGGCACGGCCTGGTTCCGCGAGCTGGGCCTGCAGCAGGGCCGGGAGAAGCTGGAGTCCCTGCAGGTCTATTACACGGCCACGGTGAGTCCTGCGCCCTCCGTGCTGCCCAGGGCAGCCCGTGCCAGGAGCAGGGAGTTGTGCAGGGGCTGCCGAGGAGGCACCCACAGCCCTGCAGGCCAGCAGTGCCCTGCCACTGAGCCACGTCAGCAGGGAGGGATTCCTGGACTCTTACTGCCGTTGGAAAAAAGAAGGGAAAAAATACTCAAAAAGACAAAAACTTAGCACCCCTTCTCTTCTAACCACATCCTGATCACGGAATACGCCAGTGCCTTGCATCTAAACAAGCAGCCAGGAGCTGTGTGTGGGACCAGCAGGTTCCTAGCTCAGCAGGGCAGCACAAAAGGTCTTTGGAAACCTGGTGCTGCTGTGGCAGGAAATGTCACCGTCGTGGGCGAGTCACCCTCAAGACTAGTGAGCTCTTTGCAGGGAGCGGCCTTGACTCTGGAGCTGGCGCAAGGTGGCAGGTTCTGCACAGAACCACAGAAGGGCTGAGGCTGGCAGGGACCTCTAGGGATCACCCAGCCCAGCCCCCTGCTCCAGCAGGGACACCCAGAGCACGGGGCACAGGGTGGCATCAAGGCGGGTTTGGAAGATCTCCAGAGAAGGAGACTCCACAGCCTCTCTGGGCAGCCTGTTCCAGGGCTCTGGCACCCTCACAGGAAAGAAGTTCTTCCTCACATGGAGATGGAACTGCCTGGGTTTCAACTTGTACCTGTTACCCCTTGACCTGTCCCTGGCCACCACCGAGAAGAGCCTGGCCCCATCCTCCCTACATTCTCCCCTTAGGTATTTACACATATTGATCAGATGATTCCAGCTATGCTTCTAGCTGGTTCCTTTTGTTAGTTTTGGTTTTCCTTGCTTTGGAATCATGGGGTGATGAGTTAATTGTTTTTTAAGTAAAGGAAATCCCTTGCAAAGTCCCCACAAAGCACGCGGTGAGAACGTGAGGCGGTGGAGTGCTGCTGCAACCCTCATCTGCTAACTTTGCTTGCCAACCTCAACCTGCTAACCCCAAGTTAACGGTGCTGGGCTTCGTTTGCTTTCCCCAGGAGTCCAAATACGCTCTCGAAGAAGAACTTGCCGAGGTTCCGGCTTCTGGTTTCCCAGAGAACTTGCCCGCCGGCGGCTCCTCCGCACACCAGGCACAGGCTGGCCCCTGGCTGCAGGTGAACGGCAGGAAGAGGGGAGCAGACGTCGTGCTGGGGGCAGAGAAGAGGCTCAGGAGCGGCGCGGGAGAGCAGGGCCCCGCGGCGCAGCCCAGCGAGAGCCTCCTGCGCAGGTAACTGCTCTCAGGTCTCCAGCAGGTCGAGGGAGGGGATCCTGCCCCTCTACTCAGCCCTGGTGAGGTCACATCTGGAGTATTGGGTCCAGTTCTGGGCTCCACAGTACAAGAGGGATGTGGAGCTGCTGGAGAGAGTCCAGCACAGGGCTACAAGGATGATCAGGGGCCTGGAACATCTGCCCTACGAGGAGAGACTGAAAGAGCTGGGCCTGTTCAGCCTGGAGAAGAGAAGGCTGAGAGGGGATCAAGGGAGGCAATGCGGAGGATGGTGCTGGTCTCTTTTCAGTGGTGGCCACTGACAGAACTAGAGGTAATGGCCACAAACTGAAGCATCAAAAGTTCCACAGAAACTTAAGGAAAAATTTCCTGACAGTGAGGATGCCAGAGCCCTAGCAAGCTGCCCAGAGAGGCTGTAGTGTCTCCTTCTCTGGAGATCTTCAGACCCACCTGGATGCCTCCCTGTGCCCCGTGCTCTGGGTATCCCAGCTGCAGCAGGAGGGTTGGAGTAGATGATCCCTAGAGGTCCCTTCCAACCTTCAACCGTTCTGTGATTCTGCCTCTGTTGTGCAGCTGCTGTGCTTGCCAGGAAAATTGTCTGTGTTTGAGCCCCTGAGCTGGCTCTGGTCAGAGAGAAAAGCTCTTTGCTGCCTTCAGCAG